TTTTTTTTATATATATATATATTTTTTGACGAAACGATAGAGATAATATTGCACTCGAAGTGAACAATGGTCGAAAATACATGCAAACTCGAAAAGAACTAAAACTGAGAAGACACGCACGAAGCGACCTAGAACTTGAATATAAACAGAAAAAACCACTAATCACCTCCACTGCCCAAAGGCCTAGAGGAAAGAAAAAAAAAACAAACCTGCACTAGACTAAAATGACAAAACAAAGAAAACTGGAGTAGCACTACAATTGCACAAAAGCTAACCAATCTTGATGAGCAGCTTTGAGAGTAACTTGAATGGGCATAAGAGTTTCTTGAAAGATGCATAGATTGCGGGTCTTCCAGAGCCACCAGAGAATGTAACTAGTGAGCTGAATTGTAACGTCCCATTTTTATTTGCCAATATTCAGAATAAATTTTTCAAATTTATTTCAAAGTCACTTGAGGCATTACTCATTTTCAAAACGAACATCAATACTTAACAATTTCTCATTACTCAATCAATCATCAATCCTCATTTATCAATATTAAAATCCCAATAATCAATAATACAATCCAAGCAATCCAATAATCAATATCCTAGGGTATTCCCTATCAATAATCCAATAATCAATAATAGAGAAAAAATAATAGCAATATTCACTTCAAGGCGGAAGCAATTTCAATTATTAAGACCACCACTCGCATCCCTCCGTTGTGCCTGCAATACTAACCTGCATCCATGAAGAGCAGGTGGAGATGAGCACAAAAAGAAACAGTAGTGCTCACCACTATGCAGTAAACGTTATTCACAATAATAAAACAATAATCAATAATCAGTAAGGTATGGTCAGCAGGCAAACGAAGTAATAATCTATCTCATTCCCCATCAATAATATCAATAACCAAGACTCATGTGTACACACCTATCATTAGCTACTGTTGGTCTATTCAAAGGCATCGCCATGTGTCTTACATCGTCATCCAACAGTAGGAGTACATGTCGAAGGCATCGCCATGTGTATTACATCGACATTCATTTCGAAGGCACCGCCATGTGACTTACATCGACAAACATATCGAAGGAATCGCCATGTGACTTACATCGATATGGCCCACCGTGGGTCTTAAGGAGAAACTCTTATCAAGGGGACAACCGTTCGACGACAGGTACAACTCACATCGAAGGCTACATGCATACATTGATCATACCACAAACAATCATTAATAACATTTACGGCATAGCAAATTTTAAATAAACCCCACCTGGTATTCGGAGAAAAAGAAGTCACAGAAATCGGGGGAAAAAGTAGGCCGAGAACACAGCTCGTCAAACACCTACATTATACAAAATAGTCCTATAAATGACTATCCAACACACGAACACTTATAACTACACTCATTCGATACAACTCAGCCATATAGTTCATAAAAGCATGCATGCAAAATGAACTCATTATTTCCGAACACATAACATGAGTTTTTCAAAACTTAACCCAGGCAGTGTTTTTAAAATCGACCTAACTATCAGCACGTAATTCATATGAATGTGATTCAAGTTGCAATAGAAACCTAAGACATGCCTCTACAATTTTTATGCACAACTTAAAATCAGACGATGTCATTATCTACATTATAAATCAGCAAACATTCACCATGAGGGTGCAGTCAAAACATTCAAACAAGGTGGCAGCATTTTGAGGATAACTCGAGCTGTAGTCATGCTAAAAATATGAATCAGGTACTCATAGAAAGAAAAGAAATAAAGCTACAATTTTTATGAAGAGAACTTTGACAAATCCTGATCTCGTCACATAGATAATTCAACAACAACACAAAACATAGCTGCAGTCCAGAAATGAAAATGAACAACTCATATAGTCTCAGTATTTCCAAGATAACATGAGCTATAAGCATGCTATTCAGGTGATTCCAAAAATAATGAGGAGCTAACACATATATCCACAACTTTCATGTAGATCACTTATGCCAACAATAAATTTAAAACTGAGTTTAAGCATAAAATACTTAAGTCAAGAAATCCGCCAAAATATCCATTTATCAACTTACAACACTTCATTAAAACAACAATAACTCAAGTAATAGAACTCCAAATCATACAAACTCAAAACCTGAAGAAACTACACGAGGAAAGCTACAAATTCATGAAGAGCATTTTTACATATAATCACGTTAAAGGCATCATTTCAGAGCATACATTCCATGCATATACACAGTCACTGCTTCAAAATTCTGGGCATAAATCCAACTTAGAAAAATCATATAAAATCAACCAAAACTCTAAATTGCAAGATTTTAACTCCTAATGAAAGCTCATAACATGTACTACATGTTTCATAAAGACCAGATTTTCATATAGACACATTAGAATTATCAAAATTAGCCTAACATCATAATCACCAAACCTGCCCGAATTTATACAAACAGCATGCGCGTTCAACTTGAAAAACTCATAACAAATTCGAATCAACTACAGATTTTAAAATTCTAAATCTCACTGAACCCTAACTAAAAATTCACAATTCAGATGCAGAACACTTGTCTAAGAAACAACTTCTTGGTTGCAAAAAACTGAGCACAAACAGAGGCTCTAACGTAGTGTTTTTAATTCAATTTCAACTCAAAACATACATTCATGAACAAGTAATACCAAGGCATCAATTAATCACCAAATATCGCACATAAATACAAATATAAGTACATAATAATGATCGAGGGTCAGCCCGATACCGTTTTCGGGACGGGTTCACGAAAAAGGGTTGAACCGGGGCTAATAGGCGCGCACAGGAGAGCCTCGGCAACAAGCTTGGCTCGGCTGCGGGTCGAGCACGTTTCCAGAGGCAATGGGGTAGCCTATACGTGATCGACGGTCGTTGGGCGATGGCTTACGACGGTCAACAGCGGGTCTTGCGAGCACGGTGATGCACAGGGCCGTTGGTCTGGGGCAGCAACGCGGCAACGGTCGTACTTGTGGGACTCACGAGTGATAACAGCGACGAATGGCGATTGACCGGGGAACCGCACCAAGCAAAAACATGGACGACGGGGCTTGCGAGTAGAGGACCGAGCGAGTCACACTCGAGCAGCAAACAGGGCTTGGTTGTCGATGGCGATTTCACGCGGGG